AAAAAAAAAAAAAAAAAAGAGAATTAAAATGAGTGAGTGTGTCAGCACCTTTTCGACACCGCCATCTTTGCCGATTTTTAATTATTGTTTGGAACTGACAAATGCCCTCAACATTTACAGATGTGTAGTTCACATAATGAATAACTCGTTAAAACATTTTCAAAAAATAATAAAATCTCTTAGCCCCCGAAATAAAGTGAAAACAAAAAGTGAAAAGTGAAAAAAAACAAAATAGTGAGTGGGCGAGCACGTTTGAACACCCCCATTTTTGACGATTTTTAATATTTTTTGGGCTTAGCAGAATGGCTTCAAAATTTATAGGCGTGTAGGTTACACCATAGAGAACTCACAAAAAAAAAATCAGAAAACAAAACTTCTTTTTAGGCCCCAAAAGTTTTTTTGCCAGGGGCCGAAGCTGGAGGTGTTCGACCCCTTAACGGGACCCCGAACGCCCGAACGTTCGGGGGCCAGCCCGGGGGGCCCCAAAAGTTTGGTCAGGTAACCCTATATATATATAGAGAGAGAGCATAAACTACTCATTAATATCATATTAGCATACTCCCCTAAAAAAAAAAGAGCAAAACCCATGGAAGAATATTTTACGTTATAGCCTGCAACTAACTCAGCTTCCGCTTCTGGTAAATCAAAAGGAGAACACCCGAACGTACGGGACCCCTTTGGAAGGCGTTCGGCCGTTCGGGCCGAACGCGGACCCGAAAAAAAAAAAAAAAAAAAAAAAAAATCAAAACATTCCCAAACAAAAATATGTTATGGCGAAAAATAAACTAAACAACATTTGTCTGGGACTACATCCAAATTCTTTACCACATTTGAATAAGAAATCAAATACAGAAAATAAACACTTTGATAAAAATAAAAAAAACTAAAAAGAGAATTAAAATGAGTGAGTGTGCCAGCACCTTTTCGACACCGCGATCTTTGCCGATTTTTACATATTTTTTGGCATTGACAAATGCCCTGAAAATTTACAGATATGTAGTTTACATAATCAATAACTCATTAAAAGTTTTTCAAAAAATAATAAAAGTTTGTAAGCCCCGAAATAAAGTGAAAACAAAAAGAGAAAAGTGAAAAAAAAACAAAATAGTGAGTGGGCGAGCACGTTTTGACACCCCCATATTTAACGATTTTTAATGTTTTTTTGGCTTAGCAGAATGGCATCAAAATTTATAGGCGTGTAGACGACATCATAGAGAATTCACAAAACAAAATTCAGAAACAAAAACTTATTTTTAGGCCCCGAAAACAAAATTGACGGGGGCCGAACCTGGAGGTGTTCGCCCCCGAACGGGACCCCGAACGCCTGAAC